GTGTCCTATCACCTACACACACGTGTCCTATCATCTACAAACACGTGTCCTATCATCTATATACACGTCTCCTATTATCTATACAACACACGTCCTATCATCAATATACACGTGTCCTATCATCTATACACACGTGTCCTATCATCTATACATACACCTGTCCTATCATCTATACACACGTGTCCTATCATCTACATACACCTGTCCTATCATCTATACACACGTGTCCTATCATCTACATACACCTGTCCTATCATCTATACACACGTGTCCTATCATCTACATACACCTGTCCTATCATCTATACACACGTGTCCTATCATCTACATACACCTGTCCTATCATCTATACACACGTGTCCTATCATCTTCATACACCTCTCCTATCATCTATACACACCTGTCCTATCATCTACATACACCTGTCCTATCATCTATACACACGTGTCCTAACATCTACACACACGTGTCCTATCATCTATACACACGTGTCCTATCATCTACATACACCTCTCCTATCATCTATACACACGTGTCCTATCATCTACATACACCTGTCCTATCATTTATACACACGTGTCCTATCAGCTACATACACTTGTCCTATCATCTATACACACCTGTCCTATCATCTACATTCACCTGTCCTATCATCTATACACACCTGTCCTGTCATCTACATACACCTGCCCTGCCGCCTCCGTAGTCTTGTGGTAGAGCGTCCGCCCGGAGAGCGGAAGGTCCGGGGTTCGATCCCCGGCCGCGTCATACCAAAAGATGGTACTTGTTGTTACCCTGTCTGGCGCTCGGCATTTAGGGGCAAAACAAGGACTGGTCGGCTCGGAGTCAGTATACTGTGTCTGAGTGGGGTATTCATGTTAAACTGCGGCATGGTATCTCAGTGAGCTAGCACTATAAATCGGCATCAGTCCAGACAAGCAGCCACACACACACATACACGTGCATGCACGTCGCTATATAAGTGCAATAATCTTGGACGCGACGTTAAACCCAATTTCACCTCACCTCACCTCACATACACCTGTCCTATCATCTATACACACGTGTCCTATCATCTACATACACCTGTCCTATCATCTATACACACGTGTCCTATCATCTACACACACATGTCCCGTGATCTACACACACGTGACCTATCATTTATACAACACACATGTCCTATGATCCACACGCACATGTCCTGTGAACTACACACACGTGTCCTAACATCTATACAGATGTGTCCTACCATCTATACACACGTGTCCTATCATCTACATACACCTGTCCTATCATCTACACACACGTCTTCTATCATCTATACAACACACGTGTCATTTCATCCACACACACGTCTCCTATCATCTATACAATACACGTGTCCTATCATCTATGCACATGTGTCCTATAATCTACACACACGTGTCCTGTGATCTACACCCACGTGTCCTATCATCTACACACACGTGTCCTATCATCTACATACACCAGTCCTATCATCTGTACACATATATATACACACACGTGCCGTATCATCTACACTCACACACGTGTCCTATCATCTAGATTCACACGTGCCCTCTCATACACTCACACACGTGCCCTATCATGTACACAGATGCCCTATCATCTCCAGTCACAAGTGCCCTATAATCTACACACACACGTGCCCTATCATCTACACTCAGATGTGCCCTATCATCTACACAGATTCCCTATCGTCTACATACACACGTACCCTATCATCTACACTCACAAGTGCCATATCATCTACACACACACACGTACCCTATCATCTGTACTCACACGTGCCATATCACCTACACTCACACGTGCCATATCATCTACACTCACACGTGCCCTATCATCTGCACACACACGTGCCATATCACCTACACTCACCCGTCCCTGATCATCTACACTCACACGTGCCCTATCATCTACACTCACACGTGCCCTATCATCTACACTCACACGTGCCCTATCATCTACACTCAGATGTGCCCTATCATCTACACTCACACGTGCCCTATCATCTACAAACACGTTCCCTATCATCTACAATCACACGTGCCCTATCATCTACACACACAGGTGCCCTATCATCTACACTCACACGTGTCCTATCACCTACACACACACGTGCCCTATCATGTACACAGATGCCCTATCATCTACACACACGTGCCCTATCGTCTACAATCACACTTGCCTTATCATCTACACACACACGTGCCCTATCGTCTACACACACACGTGCCCTATCATGTACACAGATACCCTATAAACTACACACACACGTGCCCTATCATCTACACTCACACCTGCCTCATCATCTACACACACACGTGCCCTATCGTCTACACACACACGTGCCCTATCATGTACACAGATGCCCTATCATCTACACACACACTTGCCCTATCATCTACACTCACACGTGCCTTATCATCTACACTCACACGTGCCCTATCATCTACACACGCACGTGCCCTATCATGTACACACACACGTGCCCTATCATCTACACATGCATGTGACCTATCATCTACACACACACGTGCCCTATCATCTACACACACACGTGCCCTATCATTTACACACACACGTACCCTATCATCTACACAGACACGTGCCCTATCATCTACTCTTACACGTGCCCTATCATCTACACACACACGTGCCCTATCATCTACACACGCACGTGCCATATCATCTACACACACGTGCCCTATCATCTACACACACACGTGCCCTATCATCTACACACACACGTGCCCTATCATCCACACGCACACGTGCCCTATCATCTACACTCACACGTGCCCTATCATCTACGTACACACACGTGCCCTATCATGTACACACACACGTACCATATCATCTACACACACACGTACCCGATCATCTACACACACACGTACCCTATCATCTACACACACACGTGCCCTATCATGTACACGCGTGTCCTACACTTCTATCACCTACATTACTGCTCCTATCGTCAAACGTGCGCGAAATGTTACGCCCACATCTGTGGCTCTGAGTCTGCACGGGTATGTCTATATGCCACAGTCTACACCAACACGTTCCCTCTGTTCTACAGCCACACACATGTGACCAAATACTCTACACAAACACACACACACACACATGTGCCCTAATACTCTACACAAACACACACACACACACATGTGCCCTAATACTATCAAAACACACACACACACATGTGCCCCATATTCTGAACCCACATACATGTGCCCTAATGCTCTACACAAACACACACACATGTGCCCTAATACTCTTCACAAACACACACACACACACACACACACACACACACATGTGCCCTAATACTCTACACAAACACAAACACATGTGCCCTTTATTTTACACCTGCGTCCTCTATCCTACGTTCATCCAGGTTCGCTGCTGTCTACACACATACTTGTACACGTGAGACGTCTTCTACACTGCACAGCCGCCGTTGACCACACAGATCTGGCCTACAGCGATAACACTGTGTGGGTGTTGGTGGGTGCTTTCAGACGTCTTCTCTGTGATGGCGTCATACCACATGCCTGAAGGGGTTGCACTGAACGTGAACTAAATGGTCCACACATCCGTGATCATATCGAATATATTGCTCAAAAACAGGAAACCACAGTTGAACTTTATTTTTTAAAATGAAACCAGATACGTAAAAGTGCGTTCGATCCGTTACCCATTGGTAAAAAAACAACTTTCCCACAATCCTGCTTTTTGGCTTCACATCAGGCACGACTGACATTCTTTTCCAGCCCTTGAAGTCATGACGTCTACTTCATTAACCTAGAACCAGTATGTACTCTCAACAACAACAACAACAACAACAACATGCATTACTGATGTAGAGACCTGATATCGTGATATGATCCTTCAACCGATTGTTGATGCGAGGTAGCCTTGTGGTTAAAGCGTTCTCTCGTCAAGCCGGGTTCGATTCCCTACACAGGTACAATGCATGAAGTCAATTTCCGTGCCCGGCCGTGATATTGCTGAAATTTTGCTAAAAGCGGTGTAATACTATTCTTCAATTGTTTAGCCTTGCGTCTGTGCCATTGGTGATGGCATCGTTCTCAAGAGAGATAATTCCCGACCGACACTGCAGCGTCACCAAGGGATCACTACTACGTGTGGAGGGATCAGCGTAGCGCTTCGTTGGTCATGTTGCAGGATCTGGACGATGTCTTTGAGGACGAGTTTGATCCCTCTGTGGAATTTGAGTTCCGGAATTTGGTGGTAATGTTTCCATGACTTGTTTCCATGAAAGGTGTTGTGTTTGTTTCTGATGGGTTTGGGGATTGTGTTTCTATTCCGAAATCGTTCACTTTCTTTCGAGACAATATATTCGTGTAAGTTATACATTTTTTCTCTCAACAAAACATTCATTCACACACAAGTGCAATAATCTTCAAAGCAACGTTACACCTCACCTCACCTCACCTCACCTCACCTCAACTCAACTCAACTCACCTCACCTCACCTCACCCCAACCCCACCCCACCTCACCTCACCTCACCTCACCTCACCTCACCTCACCTCACCTCACTATGGTGGCCGGGAGGAGACACCGCCTGCTCGCCCTCAATTACGGCAGCGAGAAAGCCATAAAGCGATAGCACGAGACGACAAAGCGATAGCACGAGACGACAAAGCGATACCAGGAGACGACAAAGCGATACCAGGAGACGATAAAGCGATACCAGGAGATGACAAAGCGATACCAGGAGACGACAAAGCGATAGCAGGAGACGACAAAGCGATACCACGAGACGACAAAGCGATAGCATGAGACGACAAAGCGATAGCACGAGACGACAAAGCGATACCAGGAGACGACAAAGCAATACCAGGAGACAACAAAGCGATAGCATGAGACGACAAAGCGATACCAGGAGACGACAAAGCGATACCAGGAGACAACAAAGCGATACCAGGAGACGACAAAGCGACACCATGAGACAACAAAGCCATACCAGGAGACGACAAAGCGATACCACGGGACGAAAAAGCGATAGCACGAGACGACAAAGCGACAGCACGAGACGACAAAGCGATAGCACGAGACAACAAAGCTATACCAGGAGACGACAAAGCTATACCAGGAGAAGACAAAGCGATAGCACGAGACGACAAAGCGATAGCAGGAGACGACAAACGACAGCACGAGACGACAAAGCGATACCAGGAGACGATAAAGTGATACCACGAGACGACAAAGTGACAGCACGAGACGACAAAGCGATACCACGGGACGAAAAAGCGATACCACGGAACGAAAAAGCGATAGCACGAGACGACAAAGCGACAGCACGAGACGACAAAGCGATAGCACGAGACGACAAAGCTATACCAGGAGACGACAAAGCTATACCAGGAGACGACAAAGCGATAGCACGAGACGACAAAGCGATAGCAGGAGACGACAAACGACAGCACGAGACGACAAAGCGACAGCACGAGACGACAAAGCGATAGCAGGAGACGACAAACGACAGCACGAGACGACAAAGCGATACCAGGAGACGATAAAGCGATACCACGAGACGACAAAGTGACAGCACGAGACGACAAAGCGATAGCACGAGACGACAAAGCGATACCAGGAGACGACAAGGCGATACCAGGAGACGACAAAGCGATACCACGAGACGACAAAGCGATAGCATGAGACGACAAAGCGACAGCACGAGACGACAAAGCGATACCAGGAGACGACAAAGCAATACCAGGAGACGACAAAGCGATACCAGGAGACGACAAAGCGACAGCATGAGACGACAAAGCGATACCACGGGACGAAAAAGCGATACCACGGAACGAAAAAGCCATAGCACGAGACGACAAAGCGACAGCACGAGACGACAAAGCGATACCACGAGACGACAAAGCTATACCAGGAGACGACAAAGCTATACCAGGAGACGACAAAGCGATACTAAGAGACGACAAAGCGATAGCAGGAGACGACAAACGACAGCACGAGACGACAAAGCGATAGCACGAGACAACAAAGCGATACCAGGAGACGACAAGGCGATACCAGGAGACGAGAAAGCGATAGCACGAGACAACAAAGCAACAGCACAAGACGACAAAGCGATACCATGAGACGACAAAGCGATACTAAGAGACGACAAAGCGATACCAGGAGACGACAAAGCGATACCAGGAGACGAGAAAGCGATAGCACGAGACGACAAAGCGACAGCACGAGACGACAAAGCGATAGCAGGAGACGACAAACGACAGCACGAGACGACAAAGCGATACCAGGAGACGATAAAGCGATACCACGAGACGACAAAGTGACAGCACGAGACGACAAAGCGATAGCACGAGACAACAAAGCGATACCAGGAGACGACAAGGCGATACCAGGAGACGACAAAGCGATACCACGAGACGACAAAGCGATAGCATGAGACGACAAAGCGACAGCACGAGACGACAAAGCGATACCAGGAGACGACAAAGCTATACCAGAAGACGACAAAGCGACAGCATGAGACAACAAAGCGATACCAGGAGACGACAAAGCGATACCAGGAGACAACAAAGCGACAGCACGAGACGACAAAGCGATACCACGGGACGATAAAGCGATACCACGGAACGAAAAAGCGATAGCACGAGACGACAAAGCGACAGCACGAGACGACAAAGCGATACCACGGGACGAAAAAGCGATAGCACGAGACGACAAAGCGACAGCACGAGACGACAAAGCGATAGCACGAGACGACAAAGCTATACCAGGAGACGACAAAGCTATACCAGGAGACGACAAAGCGATAGCACGAGACGACAAAGCGATAGCAGGAGACGACAAACGACAGCACGAGACGACAAAGCGATACCAGGAGACGATAAAGCGATACCACGAGACGACAAAGTGACAGCACGAGACGACAAAGCGATAGCACGAGACAACAAAGCGATACCAGGAGACGACAAGGCGATACCAGGAGACGAGAAAGCGATAGCACGAGACAACAAAGCAACAGCACAAGACGACAAAGCGATACCATGAGACGACAAAGCGATACTAAGAGACGACAAAGCGATACCAGGAGACGACAAAGCGATACCAGGAGACGAGAAAGCGATAGCACGAGACGACAAAGCGACAGCACGAGACGACAAAGCGATAGCAGGAGACGATAAAGCGATACCACGAGACGACAAAGTGACAGCACGAGACGACAAAGCGATAGCACGAGACAACAAAGCGATACCACGAGACGAGAAAGCGATAGCACGAGACGACAAAGCGACAGCACGAGACGACAAAGCGATACCACGAGACGATAAAGCGATACCTCGAGATGAGAAGGCGATACCACGAGATGAGAAGGCGATACCACGAGATGAGAAGGCGATAGAGCGAGAAAGCCACATTTCCCATAATGCCGTACATTAAAAAGGCTGATATTCAGTTATTCATTCCTTAAATTTTCGTCACTATTTTGCCTTGTATACCTAGAATCTTTCAACATTTTGTAGTAGATAAATATGTAAGATATAGATGCAGAATGCTATCTCGTTTCGTTTGCATACACGCACGTGTTTACTTTCTCGTATTGTAGTAAATTAGTATACACTACAACGGAAAAGTCTTTTACACAGGACCCGTGAAGATCCGGGGTAGAATAGGTCTTCAGCAACCGACTATACTTGTCGTAAAAGGCGACTCACGGGATCGGGTGGCCAGGCTCGCTGACTTGGTTGATGCATGTCATCGATCCCAATTTCGTGGATTGATGTTCATGATGTAGATCACTGGATTGTCTGGTCCAGACTCGATTATTTACAGACCGCCGTCATATAGCTAGAATATTGCTGAGTGCGGCGTAAAACAACAAACCAAAAATCTTTTACACAGAACGTCCGCAGATAATTTCCGATTTTTTGCGAAACTTAATTACCTCTTTCCTGGGAGTTACTAGTTGTATGCCTAACACACCTGACGGACAACACACCCACCTACATACATACTTTTGACAAAACTCTACTTAAAATATACAATAAATATTAGAATGACAGCTGATGTAACATAGATGCAACAGCTGCTGTTACAGAGTGTCCTAGTAATGCGCTTCTTATTGTTATCAACGTTAACTGTGTGGCCACAGGGGTAATATATATATATATACTGTGATAACACCATTGTCACGGCGATGTGGACGGTGAGGTAACCTAGTGGTTAAAGCGTTCGCTCGTCACGCCCAAGGCCCGGGTTCAATTCCCCGCATGGGTACAATATGTGAAACCCATTTCTCGTATTCCCCCGCCGTGATATTGCTGGAATATTGCCAAAAGCGGCATAAAGCCATACTCACTTACTCACAGCGGTGTTTATCAAATTACAATATGCAAGTACATGTACATGTAGATTCGTACCAGACAAGCGACACAATACAAGTTGATCATAAATCAAATGTTAACAGAATATTTACCGACAACAGTATTATGGCCTTAACACTGTAACTTCATATACTACTCAAAACAAGTTAAAGAACACCCACTGTTTTTTGCAATACCATCAGCCATGACTGATTAACCATAGTCACATGAATGAATCGTTTGCTCTTTAACTTCTCTTGTAAGTATACATTTAGATTTTAACCTGATTTATTGAGAGCGTATTGCCTTGGCCCGCCCCGCGCTGACGGCGTGATAGTCACATGAAACTCCAAACTAGGGCCGAAAATCAGTCATTTACTGTTTACCCAGAAATCCGTGGGTTGTTTTAAAACCTGTACCGTTAAACTATATTTAAGTGAATAGTAAGAAAATTTCAACATTCCCTGGGTGCTGTCCCCGATGTGTTTACCTGATCTGTGTAATACGGGGGTACATGTACCTGAGCTGTGTAATACGGGGGTACATGTACCTGAGCTGTGTAATACGGGGATACATGTACCTGAGCTGTGTAATACGTGGTTACATGTACCTGAGCTGTGTAATACGTGGTTACATGTACCTGAGCTGTGTAATACGTGGTTACATGTACCTGAGCTGTGTAATACGTGGTTACATGTACCTGAGCTGTGTAATACGTGGTTACATGTACCTGAGCTGTGTAATACGTGGTTACATGTACCTGAGCTGTGTAATACGTGGTTACATGTACCTGAGCTGTGTAATACGGGGGTACATGTACCTGAGCTGTGTAATACGTGGTTACATGTACCTGAGCTGTGTAATACGGGGGTACATGTACCTGAGCTGTGTAATACGTGGTTACATGTACCTGAGCTGTGTAATACGTGGTTACATGTACCTGAGCTGTGTAATACGGGGGTACATGTACCTGAGCTGTGTAATACGTGGTAACATGTACCTGAGCTGTGTAATACGTGGTTACATGTACCTGAGCTGAGTAATACGGGGATACATGTACCTGAGCTGTGTAATACGTGGTTACATGTACCTGAGCTGTGTAATACGGGGGTACATGTACCTGAGCTGTGTAATACGTGGTTACATGTACCTGAGCTGTGTAATACGTGGTTACATGTACCTGAGCTGTGTAATACGGGGGTACATGTACCTGAGCTGTGTAATACGTGGTAACATGTACCTGAGCTGTGTAATACGTGGTTACATGTACCTGAGCTGTGTAATACGGGGATACATGTACCTGAGCTGTGTAATACGTGGTTACATGTACCTGAGCTGTGTAATACGGGGGTACATGTACCTGAGCTGTGTAATACGTGGTAACATGTACCTGAGCTGTGTAATACGGGGTACTACACCTGAGCTGTGTAATACGGGGATACATGTACCTGAGCTGTGTAATACGGGGGTACATGTACCTGAGCTGTGTAATACGGGGGTACATGTACCTGAGCTGTGTAATACGGGGGTACATGTACCTGAGCTGTGTAATACGGGGGTACATGTACCTGGGCTGTGTAATACGGGGGTACATGTACCTGGGCTGTGTAATACGGGGGTACATGTACCTGAGCTGTGTAATACGTGGTTACATGTACCTGAGCTGTGTAATACGTGGTAACATGTACCTGAGCTGTGTAATACGTGGTAACATGTACCTGAGCTGTGTAATACGGGGGTACATGTACCTGGGCTGTGTAATACGGGGGTACATGTACCTGGGCTGTGTAATACGGGGGTACATGTACCTGAGCTGTGGGTACGGGGGTACGTGTACCTGAGCTGTGTAATACGGGGCTACATGTACCTGAGCTGTGGGTACGGGGGTACGTGTACCTGAGCTGTGTAATACGGGGGTACATGTACCTGAGCTGTGGGTACGGGGGTACGTGTACCTGGGCAGGTGAGGGAGCAGGACGACGGCGTCGTATCATGTTTCACAGACTTGTGCAGTACCACTGAACTGCCAGTACCTCGCGGGGCCCAGGACCACATGACCAGGAAGGTCCGGTTCAATCAATGACGTCATTTCATTGGCGCCCGTCAAGCATCCTACGGATTAACAGCGTGACATCGTATGGCTGAAAATAATTATGTCATGAAATGTGGTTTCATTTGTCAGTAAGATATGTCCTTCACGAGAGCATGTGATTCTGCATGTTACAGACAATTGGCCCGATTGTATCCTGTTGCCCCAGACATTGTCTCAAATAACAGTCAAGCACACACCAGAAGTATCACTTTAATATACTCACCGCTAAAAGAAACGCGAATACCATACATGTTGGTTCATATATGAAGACTTACTCATATTCAAGAGATATTAGATTGGTTCGATGCTCAAACGAACACACTGGTATGCTGTGTGAATCGATGCTCATGAACGCATCATATGTGACGTCATAGCTCCATGAATTGAGATGATCCATTTGTCTCGTGCCGGATTAACGTGTAAAGTTTGCAAATCACTGCAGCATATCGTGATCAGAATATAGACAGTTGAACATATTCGGCAAATCCATCAGCAAATGGTGATGTGAAATGGTTCCAAAGGCAACGGTATTTCTGAAACTGACAGTTGCCGTTCTTCTGATGTTGACCGCACTGGATTTTTAATAAGCCCCCTCACGAAGGATTGTTGAATAAAATATAATGTATTTTCTTCCAAAGAAAAAATAAAGTTAGATAGTGACAAGGTAAACTAGATCGTGAAAAGGTGAACTGGATAGGGACAAGGTAAACTGGATAGAGACAAGGTAAACTGGATAGTGACAGGGAAAACTGGATAGAGACAAGGTTATCTGGATAGTGACAGGGGGAACTGGATAGTGACAAGGTTAACTGGAATGTGACAAGGTAAACTAGATAGAGACAAGGTAA